AGCAACACACGCAACTGACCTGCACCTTGCGTCATTTTGATCGTGCATTTCGCTGTGGATAGAGGTGTCATCATTTCGTATCGCCACAATTTCGCAGCGCTGCTTATTTGCACCCCCGTACGCCGGTGCAGCTACCTAGCTGACGGACGGACGGGGGGGGGGGGGGGGTACAAGTCACACGCTACACCTGCCTATCTTGTTCTAGACCAAGCTCCAAAGCCTCATTTCAGCTGCCTTGTGTGTAGATTCCCATGAAGTCTGCAGGAACGACAGAGCCATGCATCCGCGGGGCGCTGCCTTCAGTGTGGTGTTTTGCAGGCAGTTACACAGAGGCGTGCGGTAACCAGCCGTGTCCGTGGCCGCTGAAGTGCCAGCAGCACGGCGACGTGTACGTCTGTGCGCGCGTGCCACCGCCCACCTGCGCTGCCACCAGCTGCCCGTCCGGATTCGAGTGTGTTCTACAGCAGGCGCTATGCGACTCCCTGCCCTGTAACCCGCGACCCTACTGCGTCAGGTCGAGTGAGTAAATCCGCTCACAGTGCACGCTAACACACAAATGTTTGGCCTAATGTGATAAGTTTGGGTGTGACGATGCTCCAAACGTAAGGCAAATTTATCGTCTCGTATGTCTCGCGCTGACTGTCACAGAGGACGACTGGCTCTTGACCGCTAACGGGAGCTAGGTGTGAACTGCACGACTTTCCGCGCACTGATTATGTTAACTTGTTTCCCAATTGAGCGTCACCGCTCTCGACCCGTTTGACGTATTTTGTTTTCTGGTTGCGTAAGTCAGTACTTTGCTCAAGAGCAGTTGATGGGATGAATAAATACCCACTTGCTTTGTTGCTCGATGAGAACAGCGTCGTTGTGCCTGTTTATCATCCAAAATCTAAAAATCCAAGAAATCGTCCAATACTCCTAGACAAGAGAGAATCACAATACCCAAGCTCACAAAATCAAAATCACGACATCCAAAGTTCAACATCAAGCGTTCATGACGTCCGAAGGCCGTAGAACAGTGCTAATGGAAAGCAATCAACTGAACGTTGTAATTGCTGGATGTCACGACTATTGGATGTCATGATCTTAGACGTTCAACCTTTGGTGCTATGAACTCTGCCAATGGGCACGTATTTGGACGCATTTGGAATGATATGGGCACTGGATGCTACGCTCATGGGCGTTTTGGCGGTTCTACTCGGCGCCCCGCAGTGCCTGCATGTAATGTCTTTCTTAGATCTCTGTACGGGGGTACTTGGAAATGGTCCCGGCTGACGCTGTATGGTTCGGTAAGACACACCAGCGACCCTGGCCGCCGCCATTTGCTGGGCATTGGCAGCCTGTCGCTGTGACCTCTCTGCGTCGTCATCAGCGACCCTGGTCGCCGCCATTTGTTTGTCATTGGCAGAGACATCGGCTTCGTTAAGTCTCTGTGCCGTGCGAGCCTACGCCGCTCGCCTTCGGTCGTCGGTTGCTGTGAGGAAGCTGTACACATACATACCTGCCTCGTCATCTAAACGCCGTTGCGTATTTCGTGTATACGCTTCCCCGTTTACGTTTCAAACCTTTGCCATTACGGCATCGTGAGACCTCGCTACATTGTTGCATGTGCATACATGTAATCTGTTCAGAAACGTGATAAATAATGAGCTGCGACATCGCAAGGCCCTCGCTCATTCACACGGCTCGACGGGCCGAGTCATGTCCATGACCAAACCTGTACGCCATGCCCTCGTGATCTGTAGTCCACGCAAGGTGTCACCTTGGCTATTCTGTCCCATCATTTAGTCGCCAATGGCAGCGTCGCCAATCGTCGCTCTAAGCAACGCTTCCGTTGTATTTTCATTTGCCTTTTTGCAATTACTATTTTCAATATATTTCATTGGCACTGAGTGATATACCAGTGGAATCGATCGCAAAGAGCTATTGTGAAAATGCAACTGGACCACTGTTTTAATCATTTCTCACGGCTGCATCTACAATCCATACCGTTTTAGTAGTAAATCGTGTCTATAGATTTACTGTTGGCTTCAAACCCTTGTTTCTATAGCCTTGCAGCAGAATGTACAGTTAACATGCGTGAGCTACTTTCTTTGTGCATCTAGCACAGATAGTGAGCATGCCGAAATAGAAGCATTTAGTTCATTTCAGTCGCGATCTGTAGTGACATGTTTTTCAATCCTCAGATGTTGCTCTGCTGGTCTCCCATCCACTGCCCATCCACGTTGGGCTTTATGGTTATGAAACCCGTAAGCTCTCCCCTCCCTCTTTCACACACTCTATGGCCGTCACTGACGTCGGAGCGGCGTACATTGTGCTTTTAGAACGTCACAAGGGTTGTACCCGCAGCGAGTGCAGATGCCGCCGCCATCGGTGGCGAAATCCGCTCTCTACGATTGCAGAATCTATAAAAGAACTGCATACAACTTCCAGGGTGGCCACGAGACGCTCTCGAAGTACACTTGCTGGACTCCAGGATATCGCTCTCAAGGTGCTAGGAGGCCTAGAAGTGGATTTTGTCAACATTATCATAGACGCTATTGTTTTTGAGAAGTGCGAAAACCCATGGACTCAAGACTTCTCAGGAATCTGGATTAATTTCTGGGGCAAATTCCGGGGGAACGTCTTTCGGTTCGTTATTTGGCAACGAGAGGCATACGTATAGTCTGGTACCCAAAGTCTCCTTCAAAGGACGTGAGTCAATTTATTCGGTCCGGTTGGTTAAGTGTTACTCCAGTTTATTCGGTCCGGTTGGTTAGGTGTTGCTTTAATTTTTTAGTTTATTTTAGCGCTTTAGTGGTTTAGTTTAGCGCTTCGAGTGGTCTGTTCTGAAAACACTGAATTAGATGTACCTCAGGATAGCTAGGGCTACCTCGGTTTGTTGCCACGGCTACTCCGGGACTCAAACTTGTGCTCCGGCCTCTCAGATCCCTGCGGAATCTGCATCGCCCCGGACGAGTTCTGCGAGCTGCTGCCGGTTCCGTTCTGCCGCCGTGTTGTCGAGCCGACCTGCGCAAACAAGATCTGCCCACACGGACAGAAGTGCAGGGAGGAGGCCGTCGCCTGCTTCAGGCCTCCGTGCCCCGTGGACCTGGTCTGCGATTAGAGGCGCCTCCGGGGCTTTAATGCACCATCACCGGAGTCTGGACATCGCGTGGTTGATGTTCGCGGGGACTGGGAGCTGCCCGCGATCAGACATCTGCGTATCGTCTTTTAGCGGCCCGTCAGAGAAGAGATCTGCGGCCTGTGAAAGTGCGCTGTGCATTGTGTGGTGCGTGGTGTGTTGAGCTTGTGCTGCAGTCCTCCGGTTTTAAAGTTCGGATTTTAAAAATGTTGTTTTATGGGCGCGGCTACTGTAGTGAGAGCCTGACCATTAAATATAATGAGTTTCGAAAAAGTCGTATTTATGTTCTGCTGCATCTGAGACCGCTGTCGGGCTTGATTTTTAGGGTTCAGCAAGGTGTTACTTAGGGCCCCAACTTTCGAAAATTATTTGAAACGCTGAGCAGAGGGAAACTGGTCAAACTTATTTCCACTTTTTTGTCTTAGTACTGGGAGGGCTAAGGTGACCCAACAATAGAAAACTGCGCCCCTGGTGTTTATTTAAAGTTGATACCAATGAATGAAAACAAGGTACATTCACCATTTCAAAACACCCTCCAACTTTCAGTTGTTTGATACCACCCTGCTACAATGAGATCTTACAAACATCTGCCACACTTTGCAGAATGGAACATGGAGACCACAGGTATGCGAGTTTGACTATATAGCCTTAGTAGCTGAGTGCGCTGTTAAGTCGCAATGACGATGCACATAAAATAACGGCGGTATCTGACTCCGCTTAATTTGGTCTGTTCCGCCATCAATTTGCTTGCATGCGTTTTAACTAAGATAGTATAAATTCGATAACATCGAGCCAAACCAAGACCACAAACACCGAGCCAAACCAAGACCACAAACGCCGAGCCAAACCAAGATCACAAACACCGAGCCAAACCAAGACCACAAACTCCACGGGATGAACTCTTATCAGCTGGCGTTTTTCTAATAGCCATTCTCGAAGCAACTAGTTGATAAAAAGGTACATGAATACAAAAATGTAATTACCGGAATTCATCAGTATAGAATCAAGTACCATGACCCACAGTGAAAATAAGCTTACCATTGCTCAACATGTGCTTGGGGACTGTGTAGATTTGCAGACAATGGATGGCGAACCGATTATTACTTGGCCGACCCACACTAGCGTCACCATTCCTGTTACGCATGTATTTGGTTTCTGACCTACATCTCATCTGTCTGACTTGCCATACGGTCGCTGGATCTGACCACGTCTCGTTTCGATATCAACAAGAAGGGTGACATGTGACAAGGAATGTGACAGGAATTTGCGGGTTTGACAAGCGAGAAGGACATGAGCTTGGCATAGTCAGATTATACAGTTCCATTCTGTTTTTTTTCAAGTCAGGTGTCTCAGCCGCTTTTGGCTTGCCCACTCGTTACATGTCTGTCAGGGGGCAAAAAAGAAAAATGACAAAGAAAACCGTTGCCACTCGGGCAGCTGCGACACTTACATACATTTTTAGGAGATCCTGTTCGTTGGATCTTTGGAATTATAACGGTGCTTCTATTGCTCTAGCAGAGTATTGGAAGATCTGAATGCGGTTGATTAGTGTACCACTCATAACAGACACCTGCGCCTAATAACTGATTATCATTGGCTTTATTAACCGCGGTGCTAAAATATATTTTGACATATGATAGCGCATGAAAAATAAAAAAAAACAGAAGCGATGTAACGAACCTTTTTCGCCATACTCAGTTGCATCTATCTAGGCTAACGCATGCACCTTACCCGTTGGCTGACGACCACAAGTGTTATTCAATTCCATTTGCACTGCTGGGCGGAGGATCTCTTCACGCCACAGCGTGGAATGATTTTAGCGCCGAGTAGATATTTTGATCGTTTGGGTGAGGAATCTCTTGACGCCAAAACATATAATAATTCAAGTATTGGACATTTCAATTATAGTTCTTAGAAGAACAACGGCCAGCATAATAATTCACAACTGATAAGAGTACGGAGATGCTCTGCTTTGTATTTATTCCGTGGTGCTTAACTTCATGCACGGGAAGTAGCACGATTTAGTCTAGAAAGAAATGCGTCTATGCGGCCTGGTGGCTGCATATCATTGAGCCCCAGCCATAGCTTGCTACGTTTTCTGGTCTGCTACAGTTTTTTGGTTTCCCGAAACTAACAATCTCCTTCTTTGTCAGAGCTCCCATGTTTGGCGCGTCAGTTACCGGGCAGCAGTATAGGAGGTGTTTTCGGTAGAGCGGCGGCCAGCTCCAACAACGGCCCCGCACGACGCGCCGCCGGGTGGCCGTTTTCTGCGCAGCGTTGCTCACCAGAAATTCTGTTGAAATAACACCCCTCAGTTCCACTTCATTGACATATGAGTGAGAGTGTTGCCATAAGCGTAAGTAGGAATGAACACCTTTGGCAGTTGGTATGATATGAAATAAATGCGTCACTGGAGGTCCACAAGCCAGTTTTTCGCGAATGTGTTCCAATCACGCCACTTTCTGCGCTGTTTGCCGCCCTTCCCGCGAGTATTTCTGGTGCTCCCGCCCACAGTTGACCTTTTAATGACTCATCAGGAATGCCTGACATTTCGGCACAGCCACAGTAAGCAGAGTGTGACGACGAGCAGCCATTGGTGCAGCTATGCTGACGCTGGTAGCCCTCGCCGTGGTTCTGGTCGGCGCCGTGGGTAAGTTTGCTTCGCATTTCTTTCCGCACAGATGCTGTGTTTTACCAAGCGGGGGAAGGGGGTGGGTGTGGTGGGGTGGTGGAAAGACAACTGCAACGGCATGCAAGCACTTACATTTTGCCTCATTTGTCAACTTTGAAATGGCTGCCGCGTCATATCGCCCATCTCTCGTCTGGTCACTGATCGAGATGTACCGGCGGTGCCTGGTTATCGGCCAGGCAAATTCAAACGCGCGTCAATGATGGTAGCTTTCACACGGCATAAATTTGCAGCGTGATTGTGCATATTTGGAACGCGCTGACATTTGGCTCTTGGTTTTGCTCCTGAACGGTCGGGAGGGGCCGTAAACTACACCCACGAGGACCCTGTCCGACTTCCCTAGTCAGGCTGTATTTTTGCAGACGGGTCCACACCCACGGCGCTCTGCGGCACACAGCCGTGTCCTGAGCCGCTCCAGTGCCGTGAAGAGAGAGACGTGTCAGTCTGTGTGCGCGTGCCGGCCCCCACTTGCGCTGACACCAGCTGCCCGGCCGGACAAGAGTGTATTCTGCAACAGGCGTTTTGTGACTCCTCACCCTGCGACCCGAAACCTACTTGCGTCAATAGAAGTGAGTACATTCAATTATCTCACCAAGCAGACAATGATGAATAGTTCATTCACAGTAAACCAGTACTATCATGATTTTTTTCGCAACGCATATGACGAAACTTTTTGACATGAGCCTGGATTTTGAACTGAAACGTGGTCAATGGTTTCACTTAAGCGAGTGCCTACTGATTGGCATGTAAAATGCAAGTAAAATTATGTTGTTACCATTCACCTATTTGTTACCATTTGTTATTTACTATTCATTAAATTGTTACCATTCGCTATTTATTGTGTTTGCGCTGACGAGCCCAACTGCGCGAACTCAATGCATTCCAACGCAATGTGCCTGTTGATCTCCACTGAGCGCACCGCATTGTCCTGCCCTGCTAAGAACGCTGAATTGCTGTGCACACCACCTTCATCCCGACGTCCGTAAATGTTTTGTTCTGTTCTCAGATCCCTGCGGAACCTGCTTTGCTCCGCAGGAGTTCTGCCAGCTGCTGCCATCGCCGATCTGCCGTCTTGTCGTAACCATAACATGCGCCAACAAGATCTGCCCGCCCGGAAAGAAATGCAAGGAGCAAGTCTTTAACTGCTTCAGAGCCCCGTGTCCCCCGATCCCAGAGTGTGTGTAAATGATTCTGTATGTCTACTGGCATCAAATGAGATGATGGCTACCCGAAACACGATCGCGCATAGATAAAACACGTGTAAGGTCTCGCTTGGGTACGTATGCTGGGGTCACAGCATTAATATTATTTTTGCGGATCATCTTGGCCTTCTAAGACACCTTAGCCTTCCATCTTATCGGTTCATAATTTACGATGCGATGGTCAGAATCGATTTTGCGTGTGGTTTTGAAACGTTTCATTTTGTTTCACTAAAAAGCTGTTTACATCAGAGACATCTGGTACAAAATGCAAATAACTATGCAATGGTAAGGTGATCACCTAACATGCATAATACGTACGTTTCCAGATAAGTATTTGAAAACTTGGTTGCAATAACACTAAGCCGGTGCTGATCACGACGGAAACCAGCTTTTAAGCGTAATGGAGGTCATGGAGTAGAAGGTTTTGTTCGGTTTCTTGCTTAGTTGGAGCATTGCCACAGTTCTTTATCAACATCAGGATAATTGTGAGCCTCGTGTATTTTTGTTATGCTCAAATGACGCCGTGCTTAATAGGTGTAATAATCCTAAAGGAGTTGTCATGCCATATGCTCTCGTTACTGGTGAACAATTACAGTTTATATTGGGGTGTTCCGCTTCAGGCGTTCTAAAACCCAAAGGAGTAGTTCTGCTGCTTCAATACAGGATGGTCATGAAAAAAATAGTCATCTGATTATTTCACGAAATATCCAGAAAATAAGCAGCATTTCTTAAATGAATGAATCCGAAACTTTGAATGGATGGCTTCTGAGATCAGCGCTCACGTTAAGAAGTGCTTGTGGTGTGAGCACTGACACTTCACACCCGCTCGCGCAACTGCAGGTCGACGACAGAATTTGGTAGCAGAAGTTTAGCCTACCACATCACTCGGCACGGTCCGTCCTGCCCTCTAACGTCAACTGACCTTTAGCGCGTCCGCTGCCGTCGGCCGCGAGTCATACCTGTTGAAGGCAGACAGCGAGCTGTTGTGGCGACTCCATCACACACCGTCACGCGTGGGTGGATCGGAAGGCAGGCGAGCTAACCAACTGAGTCGCCGGGACGGGATTCACCAAAGCACGCTAATGTCCCATTTCATAATATATATCGAGAAACGAAGCAATTTGGCTGGTCCATAAATGAGTTGTCTACGCTCCATGCATCACGGCTCACCCGAGATGTTCAACACAAAGCATTCACAGCATGATTTTGAAGTGAATATCGTGAGTTGTACTTCGTATTTGGACACACCTCATCGCACCTCTCGTTTAACACGCGCTCGGGTGGGGTGGGGGCGGGGGTAAAATTGACCCCTCTGAAGATTTTTCCAGAATGGTTTCCAAACGGCGCGGCGCAGCCGCGCCAAATTTTTCGCAGCTGTAGACAACTGAATAGCAGATCGTTTGACATACAAATTTATACGTGCCTTGTAAATTCACTGGCATATGATAGGTCAAAGTCAGGCCATAGTTTCAACGAAGGCACTTCCTAGGGAATCGTCCAATCTGATGCAATAACGGAGAGTTTGACGGAGCCCTACATCTCTGAGATGCTTTCTTAGGTACCAAAAATATTGAATGAGCAAATCACGTTGACCTAAGGTCAGGTATGAAGGTCAGGCCAAGGCCAAAAACAAACTGATTTATTACTCTAGGGCTTGCTGTATGGGATAGTTTGTGGTGCTCATTTCGAATAGTTTGACAGCAGGAACCGCATTATACGTCTTCCATTAACTTTTTAGAGGTCAGAGCAGGTCATTGACCTAAGATGACTCGGGTCAACATTTTGTTTTAGGAACATACTGCCTAGCGTAATCTTTGTCGCTTATTCAAATGGAAAACTCAGAGCAATCTTGTATGATTTTGGTCAAAAGATCAAAAGGTCAAACAAGGTCACTGACCTCAAAGGGGCATGTGACCTTTTGCCCAGAAACAGTTGCCTAGGTTCTGGGGGCACTTTAGAGGCCAGCCTGGAATTTGACCTTGTTTGACGTTATTTGACCTGAAGGACATGACCTGGGAAGCTCAAACTTTCACCTAAGTCAGTTTACGTACGGGTCAAGACACTCTATAAATTTAGTGTCTCTAGCTCCTTTAGTTCCCGAGATCTTATGAGGGTCAAATTGACCCCCACCCGAGCGAAGGGTATCTAGCCGGCCACCCGGGCGCGTGTTAGAGGGATGGAGTGATCGGTTTCATCCGTGCTGAAAAGCAAAGTCACACCAGCATCACCTATCTATCTTTTCAGTGCACTTATCGAACATTGTAAATGCCACACCATTTCTCATATAAGGCCTTTCAGCGGGTTATTCAGCTGATAGTTGCATTTAAACATACCCCTTTTACACCATAATTAGTACAAACAATGTTCTTGCCTCCTGGTGCACTTGCGCCGCTCCATCCAAGTTACCTTATCACTCCTGCATCCCTGATCCTCTAAACACCAAGGCCGCACACACCTTACCATATTTTTGTCATCTGCAGCCACATGGTTCAAGCAAAGCCACCACTTTTGTAGGTTTGCAGGCTGCCGAAATGTATGCTTTGTGTTCCAATGTTTACGGTATTCCTTGCTTGCATTTGTGGTGATACACGACCAATCCAAATTTCACTTTGCAGTTAGTTGAAACACACATTGTATGACATGAAGATAAAGAAAGCGGAGCTGTGCGAGCAGGGGAGTTGTTTCGCAAAAAGAGTTGGGAGAGGAGAGCTTAACACCACAAAATTGCGACACGTACAGCCAAAATACACCGACAAATTGGTTGTCCCCCATGATCTGGACCATTTTTTAAGTGTGTGCGGGGGCGGGGAAGGAGAGCTGTGGCTCCCACACTGAATAGGAAACTACAGCCCTGCTCAAGAGGTGATCGCACCTGATACCTGTGCAAGGGTCACGCGGCGAAAGAGTCAGAAAGGAAAGTTAACGTGATAACGGTCATTGTGCATACCAGGATGCAATAAATGCGCATGGTGGAAAATCTTTTTTTAGGGAAGCTTACTTTGCTCATATCCCGTGAGAAAACATCCTCTTCTCTCACTGCTCTGAATTGTTGCAATTGCTCATGCTTAAGCTAACACGGGGGCGTGGGCAGTTCTCAGTGATGAGTGGGTTGAAACATTGATTTACGGTGGTGCATGTAAATAATGACCTAAGAAATCCCCAACTTAGCACTGGGTTTCCCAACAACCATTTTGGCGCAGCTCTGGCTCTATATGCTTGTTGAAATACACGAATAGATGCTTTCACTCTCGTTGATTGACAGTATATCTGCTACCAAGAAATAATGGCATGTGGTACAAGCAGCTCAAAACCTATCACTCCCAGCTTTTTACCAGTTATATTCTGTGGAGACTGCAGGCACAGCAGGGCATGGTTAAGCGGAGTGTTTCACATTTGAACACAATTTATCCAGCATTAGATATGATGAAGCAAGCTCACTTAAAACCATTGGCATACTTTTAGGTAGCAAAACTGCTCTAGACAGCACAATTCTCTGTGTAGTAAATGTTCTCCCCATTGCGTCATGGTTTTATTACGTCATCGTACCTTACACAGCATTGATTGAAAGCCAATTGACGGCCGCGCGCTCACGAGCGCCAGACATGAACGCCCCAACAATTATGTTCTTCTTAGTCTTGATCACCGCATGGGTGATGCAATTACGGGATTTAAATGAAGCTATTATGACGCCATGAATGCTAGGTTGACTTTAAAATACTCTCCCCAAAATACCTTTTCCCATTTCTGCAGACATGTACCTCAGAAACTAGAGCGGCTTAGGTCTTAAAAAGGGCAGCATTGTGATGAGCACCGAAAATATCTATTTGAGACAACGGAGGTAATTACTGTAAGAAAGTAATGCATTACGTTCAAAACACAATTAATTGCATTACATATATCTCAGCACAGACACAATACAATGGCTAAGATGATTGATTAACCCCCTCTGTTCTTCCATTTCATGACAAGCATGCTAACAGTTGTCCCTTGAGTAGTTTCAATGTATGAAGCAATGATGTTTTCACCTGGAATATAGCGCATTTTGTGTATGCAATGCCTCATCAGCCCAAGACAAACCGATCGGTAGAATACAGCGAAAACATGATAGCAGACAGCTCCAGATTCAGGTGTTTGTCTTTGATTGCGGTATTTGAAATGAATGGATGATATTGGTAATATGGCGCATAGCCCTACTGGCCCTCCTGACTCATTACCGTCCATCATACACTATCCGATGCCGCTTGAGATACACGTACCTACCTTGTTTCGACAACAGTTATAAAACAATGATGCTGCATTCAATGGAAAAATTGCATCTTCGAAGGTCTTAAATCATGCACCTGCACATCCTGTACAGTTCGGTCCCGAAAATCACTCCTTTGGCATCAGTTGCGAAGTGGAATAAAGTCCATCCCTGACCAATGGACTGTGCCATCACTAACACAGAGTTTGGGATTAATACGGTGTTAGGCTCCTATTTCAACAATTACAGTTCAGGCCTCGTATCAATCAGTTCCAAAGGCGGTGCATCCTCTAACTTAAATAACGTATATTATGATTGTCCTGCTAGAAAATACGCGACTGAAATAAAGCTGCAATGCTTGTTTTTAAGCCGCTACATAGCTCACATGGATCTAGGCTGGCCGGATCAGACTATGTTGCAATCAATTTGAAGAGGCGCAGCCAAGCGCCACTTGAGAACCCCCTTGCCTTGGGTACGATGTTGTGTTTTGTTTTTCATGGATGGATCAGTAAACTGGTCGCGACAAGAAGTAAAAATCCGTTTGATGCTTAGTCACTGGGCTCGCCTCCCTCCCTCCGCCTCCCTCCTTCCTAAGTAAATCTTGAATGCGTCCCTGAGTCTAGCCCTCGGCCCGATAGGAGGGAGCAGGGGTGGGGTTGGGGGGAGGGCGTGGTGAGGGGTAGCGGTACGCCTTCTCCTTAGGTTTTCTGAGGATATCCTCAGCATGTCATGTGTAATTGCACATACATTTTCAGTATCTCATGGGGCATTGCGCGTGTTGTGTCACAAAACAGGTGTTTCTAGCATTTCTGCTCTTCGAGCAGTAGCGGTTTTTCAGGAGCACCGCACGGTCATCCGCGGCCGGCACGGGCACCTGGTGCTAACCGCCACTGGCTTTGCCTGTCACCAATTCATGTCTGTCCATACATCATTACGAGCCGAGGGACCGTAGGCCGAGGGGGTCTTGGCCAACTCATCGAAAAATTTCGTGTTGAACAGCCTGTTTCGACTGTGACGCTCATGGCAGTTCTTTTTTCGCAGCCACCGTGAAACCGTGAAAGCGTCGATGCCCATGTTTGACACTGTTCAAAAATGACATTCCTTGGACGCTCATTCGTAAACGTTGAGTCTCAAATGGCAAAAGCCTATGCAACAGACGTAATTTTCCGCAAAAAAGCTCTAATTTTTTGGTTGAGAAATCAATTTGGAACGTCATTTGGTGCAGTTTACAACCCCAGCCATCCTAAGATTTAAAGCCCCTTAACTTCCGCGGTACACGCTCTCAAAGATACGCATGCTGTTTTCTCCGGCTATCTTTACGCCGTTTAGGTACGCCTAAGGCATCGTCGCAGCGTCATCCAAATTTTGCCACCTCATAGACGTGGCGTGCGAGGCCAAGCACACATTTCAAGCCATTCAAAT